TACAGGAATGGGCAAATCCTAACGTTACATACACTTGTACATTGTGCAAAAAAAACATTAGGTATTGGATGATCAAAAATGAGTAATTGTAAACTATAAAACTATTGTAACTGTAATCTATTGTAACTATTGTAACTATTGTAACTGTAATCTATTTTTATCAATTGAAAAATGCATAAATCTGTTAGACGATGCTTTCAGGTACACGACGATGCTTCGGGTATTTAAAGACACTATAATGTTTGAAAAATGTTACGTCTGCGAAAGACACAATATATTAAAAAAAATACCATGCCTACAAAAGACACGATATGTCTAAAAAAAATACCATGCCTACAAAAGACACCATATGTCTGTAAAAGGTATTGTATATTTGAAAAATATCATGTCTATAAAACACACCATATTTATTAAAACAATATATATGCAAAATAAATGTATAAATAAAAAGACACTTCAAAAGATTCAGTACTTTTCAGTAAATGGCAATACATTTCAGTCAAGTACGTGGAAAAGAAAACATTTCTTCAAAATATGGTAAGTTGTATACTTTTGTATGGTAATATCGTATTTTTTCTTAATGTATTACATTTACAGGCTCTCCTTTGTATTCCTTCTTCAAAATTATCGAAAGAATCTCGCCCGATAAAGGAAGTCCCGATAGAACTCCGTATACACTTCGCGGGGTATGTTAACTTGCATTATTAATTTAATTTTGTTGGACATTCTATTAATGTTTTAGTTGGGTAAAGACACGACGTCGTATATTCAAAAAATGAGCTTGAAGCACTTGAAAGAGAGCAAAATCAGATTGACATACAAGCCGACAAGCTTGAAAATCAATTGAGAGCAGCCATGGAAAGCAATAACGAAGACGAAACGGAAAGACTGATGTTTCTATGGTTTACTCTTGTTAACAAAGAAATGCTCTCTTAAGAAATGCTCTCATTGTGCAATGAGGAGTTAATTATTTATCGTGTTTTTTCCCAGAATTATTGTGAAGGTAAATTGTTTATATTATATTACATGTTTTGACCAAAATTGTCACAGATTGAAGCTTTAAATTTTTTCCTGAATAAAGAAAACAGCATTTATTTAATAGTACACTAATAGTACACTAATATTACCTTAATAATACACTCTTTTAACATTCATCTATTTTCAGGATTTGGAAAATTATATCTTAGAACTGATACCAACATTGCCACAACTTGAAGGCTTGGAAAAGTCCTTCCATTCGTTTTACGTGTGCACAGCCGTCAGGAAATTCTTATTCTTTTTAGACCCGCTTTGAACTGGAAAAGTTCGTATTCAGAATATTTTAGCGTTTAGCTTTTTGGACGATCTTCTAGAATTGAGGGACGAGGATTTGCCGAAAGATTTGCAAGAAGCCAATTGGTTCTCTGCACCTTCGGCCCTTAAAGTTTACGGGCAATATCTTAATCTGGACAGAGATCACAATGGAATGTGGAATAAAGAGGAACTTGCTGGGTAATAAGTCTCAAAACATTATGTCGTGTAGTGTTATATTAATACATGTTAAAGATATAATTGTTTTGTTAACAGATATGGCACTGATACTCTAACCGGTGTTTTTCTTGAACGAGTATTTCAAGCATGGGCGGCGACTTCACTATGGTTGGTATGGAGTATTCCATACATTGAATCATTCAATGTATGGAATTCCATACACTGAATCAGTCGGGGCAGTGCTGCCAGATTCTGGCTTTCGGCAGCCCTTGGTAACGCGTGGTGGAGACAGCTACCGATAGCTATATAGTTATATCCGAGCGCGGTGGGTCATAACTACAGCTATCAACAGCTGCCCCCACCACGCGCTACTAAGTGGCTGCCGAAAGTCATGGTGGAAATAAGCCAGAATCTGGCAGCACTGGGTCGGGGTCCTTGTGGCAGACTTCTGCCCTGAACAGCCATATCGTACGTGACAAAAAGCAGAGCTCTCATTGGATATCGTTCATCGCGTTCGACATATAAGAGACGACACACATACAAATGCGGTTACTGGTTCAGACCTGCGTGTTAGCTGAAAGAGTCCGCATACGTTTGGTATTGTGACTGTATTTGTATGAGTAAAGGTTCAGGGGCGGTTGTATTACTATAATGGAGAGGTTTATAGTAAGAAAGAAGCGAAAGAATGAGTTAGAAGAAGGCCTAACGACATCTGGTCCTTTAGTTTTAGTCACTACCAGTACTGATGTAAATGATATAACCTCTAGTCCACAATCGGGAAATAGCAGCGAGCACACGTCTAAATCATCCTCACGAAAAAGCATCGTGTTTAACAATAATATCATTAGTAATGACACTAGTGATAGTGATTTAAATTCTGAGAAAGTAAACTACGATGAAGCAAATTGTACGGAGTGTGTTGTCGCGAACGAAAATAATAATATAAAATTCAGCGTACCACGAGCTTTCTCACGTTGGCAAATTAATTATCCATGGTTATCATTAAATCCTGTTGGGAAAGCTATTTGCTCAATTTGTGTCGAAGCAACAAATAGAAGTAATAAAATATTACTACTGAGTCATTTTAATACATGTGTAAATTCCCGTCGTGCATTTGTCGAACAAGGATTCAATACGTGGAAAAATGCTTTGAAATCGTTTCGATCTCACGAAAAGAGTGAGCTACATTGCAGTGCTATAGCAGTTTTAGGAACATTACAACAACAAAGCGTCATTTACTGTCTTTCCAAGACAAAAAAGAAGGAAATGATTGATGCACGCGTAGCTCTGTTAAAAATATTCAGCACAGTAAAATTATTAGCTAAACAAGGATTATCTTTTCGTGGGAAAGATGATGAATATTTTAATTTAGTCCAAATATTAAAAATGCGAGCAGAGGATGTCCCGGAGCTCAATACTTGGCTAAATCGAACAGCATATACATGGCTTTATCACGATATCATAAATGAAATCGTTGAACTTTTTGCAAATCAAGTAGTACGACAGAATCTTGAGATTATAAAATCAGCTGATTTTTATGCTATAAGTTTGGATGAAACATCTGATATATCAAGATTAGAACAAGTCTCCATATGCATACGGATAGCGTTAGACAACTTAACGACAATGGAATTTTTTATGGGTTTTTATTCTACAGAAAACACGAAAGCACAAACATTATTTGACATTGTGAATGATGTGCATACCCCATATGACTTAAAATTTAGTAACTTAAGAGGACAATGCTATGATGGAGCATCCAATGTAAGTGGGCGGATCACTGGCTTGCAAGCACGCATACGAGATGTAGAACCCCGAGCTATTTATGTGCATTGTACTGCACATACACTTAATCTTGTTGTCCAAGATGCTATTGAGCATGTATCATATGCCCGAAATTTCGTTGGTATCGTAAAAGATATCATAAACTTTATACGTGATTCACCTAAGCGATTGGCACAATTCAAGAATCTGCAATCTGGAGACAGTCCCTCATTAACTCCATTTTGTCCAACAAGGTAAATGAATAATTATGATGTAATAACAGGCTTTATAGCTATTTTAATCAAATATTTTTATTGTATTTTTGAATAAGATTTTTCAAAAAATATATTTTCTTAAACAAAATTCTTAGCAGAATAAATTTCAAAATGCTCGAATAATTCGTTCAAAAATTGCATTTTTTATAATTAATAATATACAAATAATTTACTTCTATAATTGATTCTTTAACAATTTTTAAATGTATGTAATGATGATTAATCCGTATACCTATTCCGAATTGTAATTAAATTTATCTTTCAGGTATATGCGGTATGGTGTATGCGGATTAAATCCTTGAAGACAATACACAATAAAGATAATTATGCAGCTGCCTTAGCATTTTTTGAAGAGATAAGTTCTGATCGAACTGTAGATTGCAGTATATCCACGAAAGCAACTGGATTCATTAGACATCTAGAATCCTTCGATTTTTACTTTTTGTTATCCTTAATAATAGAAATTTTTCAGAGAATTGAGATTTTGAACACCGAGTTGCAAAAATTAGACTTAAATGTAAACGAATCTTATAAAAAAATTAGGGCAGTGATTGATAGTCTCACCCAAATGCGAGAATCAAAATTTGATATTATATGGCATACTAATTCTACGGAAGGAGCTAGTGCACTGAACTTAGAAGAACCGAAAATACGTCGATCACGTAATGTACCTAAGCGTTATGAGGAAAGCAGTACTAGCAATTCTCATATTTTTCATACGCTGAAAGATTATTATCGGAAAATGTACTTCGAAATTTTTGACCAAGTCATGATGTCAATGAATGATCGATTCAATTCAGAAACTATAATGCTTTTAAATTCATTTGAAAATTTTGTGATAAGTAAAAACAATGTTACAGCCCAAGAAATAATTCAGTTTTATAATTTAACATCAAAGTCTGATGCGGAATTAGAAAATTGTTTTGATGAACAAAAGCTTAAATTACATCGTGAGATGTTTTTGGAAATTACGAGCTTTCGAAAAATATCACTGCGTTGCTTAAAGGATGTAGTACAATTTTTACAAGACAATCCCGAAATCAGAGATCTTGTACCAGAGTACACAAAATTTATTCGCGTTCTTTTAATGATTCCTACATCAACTTGTTCGAATGAAAAATCATTTTCTTATTTAAGACATTTAAAAAGTTATCTCCGATCGACAATGAAACAAAAACGTTTAAATCATATTGCGACGTTGTACATTTATCGAGAAATAGTCGATACATTAAATATGGAGGAGCTCGTTAATATTTTCATTAAGAAAAATAAAATCAGAGCAGCTACTTTTGCCATGTAGAAAAAATATGTATGAGGAGATATATTTATCCCCCCCCCCTTTACTCCCCCTCAATTTATTACCTATCCTCGGAAACTCCATACAC